TTACTTGGACAGTTAATTTCTCCCTAGAATTTCTCTTGCCTGAGTGTCCATGTTACATTGACTTCTCCAAAGAATGTTTTTCAATATTTTGTGTCCACTATGGTGGAGGCCACAGAAAACACCTGCTCTGCCCTTGACCTGGTGACAGGACTTTGTTTTATACTTTGCCATTTATGTTTCTTCACTCGCACACCGTTGTTTGGGATCCTGACTCAGAGTTCTACCTTCATTCCTCTAACCTAGATTATCTTCTCTGATGTTCCCAGGATTATACTTGGTTGGCAATGGCTCTGACTTATTTGCTCTGTGACTTTGGAAAAGTTACTCAACATCTCTGAGTTTAAGTTTCTTTGCTGTTTAACTGTAATAATAATAATACATAATGTATAAACATGTAAAAATAAATGATACTCTAGAATTTGGCAGTTGGACTTAATTTTTATGATCTTATTTAAATCTAAAAGATTTAAAATCTTTTTATGATTTTATTATTATTGTACTTGGTCATAACTTTAAAAAAGATAAATACCTATAAGGAAAAGAATATAATTCAACATAAACATAATTTTGCACTGAGCTCGGCGTCCTTTCTGCTAGGGATCTGAAAACAAACTCCTGCCCTGATTTTCTGGGTCTCTGTTCTTTTTCAGTTTTGAGCAGCAACTTCCATAAGCAGTGGGGTCCCAAAGCAAGGCAAGGCAAAGTCATCAGGAAATGAAATCTTTCTAGTATCCCTCTGGGTAAAGAGATAGTACAGTGTTGGTGTCTCAGCCACTTTGAAGAAGTAGGTCTTAAAATGGGGTCCAAACTTACCCCCAGCAAACGTTATCAGAATACTTTAGGTGCTCATGAGTACTGAATACCATCCTTCATCCTTTCACCCTCACCCAGACCACCTCCTAAATCAGAATATGTAAAATCTATACCTTTTCTACCCCTAGGTTAGGTTTGCCAGATAAAACCAGCACATTTGTTTAAATTTAATTTTTAAATAGTATTTGGGATATACTAAAAATAGTTTTATTTTCTGAATTCTTTTTTATTAAGTCACATATACATAGATCATGAATACATTTGTGCCTTTGTGGGATTCAGTGTGTCGATTATTTGTACAAATTGGGGTGCTTACATCAAATTAATTAACACAGCTTTCACCTTATTAATCACAGTGTTCAGACATTTGTGTTCAATACTTGATAGATTTGACTTGTACCCTTGCAATATGCTCCATAGGTGTAATCCCACCACTAACTCTCTCTCTATGGAACCACCCTCTCCCTTCCCATCTCCCCTCCCTTTCCCTCCTTCATCCTGGGCTATAATTGTGATTCATCTCTCATATGAAAGTGTGAGTGATTATAAATTGGTTTTATGGTAGTACTGAGTACATTGGATATTTTTTTCCATTCCTGAGATACTTTACTAAGAAGAATATTTTCCAGCTCCATCCATGTAAACATAAAAGAGGTAAAGTCTTCATCTTTTTTTAATGCTGTGTAGTATTCCATGGTATACATATACCATAATTTATTAATCCATTCAAAGGGAGATGAACAATTTGGCTTCTTCCAAGACTTGGCAATTATGATTGAGTTGCAATGAAGAATCTGATGCAAATATCTTTTTTTTCCAAGTGATTTTTGGTCTTTTGGATATACATCTAGTAGAGGAATTGCAGGATCAAATGGCAGGTCTACATTTAGATCCCTGAGTATTCAGCTTCTCTGAAGAAGACAGGCGCATGGTCTACAGACCCATGAAAAAATGCTCATCATCTTTAATCATCAGAGAAATGCAAACCAAAACCACTTTGAGATAT